TCTCTCTCTCTCTCTCTCTCTCTCTCTCTCTCTCTCTCTCTCTCTCTGTCTTCTGCGATTCCAGAATCGAATGGAAAAATTCCCAACTACATAGCTGGGTAATATCAAACTTTTGGACGCGAAGGAATTTTTTTCAAGCAATCAGAAGACGTTCACGATATTTATTCAAGCCAAAATTTTCGTTGGACAGCAACGTTGACTTCTGAGACCAAAACGAGGTCTCCACGTTTGGGAATGAATTTTTCCTGACTTTTTGAATGCAAGCTCTCTCTCTCTCTCTCTCTCTCTCTCTCTCTCTTAAAAAAAAAAAAGAAATTACGTGGCGAAATCTCGCGAGATAGGAATACGGAATTTTCCAGGGAAAACGAAGAGCGTTTTGATAAAACGCTCCTGGGCGCTTCGTGTCTCGAAATTTTTAACGAAGACAACGACTGTTAAAAAAGGGAAAACAAAGGTCCGATGTTCTGGCCACGACGCGCGACATTTTCCACCTACAGACAGGTTCAAAAGTATTGGACACGTGTATTAAATTAAAAAGTAATTAAAAGGTCTCGATTGTGCAGTTAAAAAAATAACACATTAAATATAGTAAAATATATACAGTATACTTTCCTCGTCTGGGAAAATAGAGTGGCTTGTAGTACGACCATGTGCATGCCTGATACTTTTGGACACCATTGTATTTTTCTCTCCTAACGTATTCTAGATTTCGAGGGAACCGGTAGTGAAAGGAGCTTCTTTTTTATCGCAAGGAGCATGTTTTCCAGTTTTTGCGTCTCTGTGGTGGAAAGTTTTCGTGCGTTTCGCGTGTTTGTTCTCCGATGAATTCGTAGCAGTCACTCGAATCTTTTTTCTCCCATGCAGAACGGGAAGAAAAAAAGGAAGATAGCTTGGGCTCAAGAGGCTCTTGCAAATTATAAAAGCAACTGAAATACGACGGAAAGGAACGCGAGGATTCTCCTACTCGAACCGTACTCGTTATCCCGACAAAACGAAACTCGAGGAACTCCTGTCTCTCGTGTCGCGCGCAATCGTTTGCCTATACTTCCCCGATAATCAGAGACGGGTGAAAATTCTCGTCTGGATGGAAGTTTCAAATAAAGAATAAAAGATAAGCAACTGTGCATTCGTTGCTCGTTAAGTAAAGATTCGAATGTCATAACCAGGAATATATTTCCTGTCTTCTTGTTGAAACGAACTGTCGAAGAGGTCGACGAGATGAGTGTGAACAACACACTTCGAGCAAAGCAACACAGCTATGCCTTTGCTTTCATAAATGTCCTCATACTTTTTCACGTAACCAGCTACCCCGTACAAATTCAAAAAATTTTATAAAACAATACGTCGCTGTTTGTAGACTAACAATTCTTATTTCATTTATTATTCATAAAATAGAATTTATCACGTTGATTCGGGCAAAATAAAATCCTCTTTATGTCGCGTACAAATTTAAATATAAATTGGAATATTTGTAAATTCCGTAGTAGTAAACCCTGCCTTTTTGTCGCATATTCCCCGTCGTTATTCTACACTCGCCAACCTCTCTATACGCGCGAAGCAAATTAATCATATCCCCTAAAAACGTTAAAGTAATCAATTAAATTCTCTTTACACGCGAGAACTTCCCGTCCGGTGCCCTCGCAATATGGCGCTCAGAGGGGAATCCCTTCTGGTCTATCCGCGACTCACGCTGCGCGGGACCGTGCATAGCTGGAACGTGTACGCGAAAAAATATCAAACGCACCGTTCGAGAACACATCGTCGAAATATTTGGCACAGCCTCGGCTATACACGGGTCTGGGAGGGGTCTGAAAGAGCCCCGGGACAATGGTGTCTCTCTTATGAATACATTACTTCGATATCGAAACGCGAGCGCGAATTGCCAGGCATAAAAGAAGAATTTTTCATCAGGCCGCGGCACAGAGACAGAGAGAAAGGGAGATACGTGGAGAGCGAGAGAGTATGGCATGGTATGGTATCGGTATGTCGGTGCATCCGGGAATCTTGAAAAGTTTTCCCCGTTTCGCGATACGTGCACACAGCGGGGTGGGGGGGGGGGGCGGGCGGGTACAGGGGTTGGGGATACGTATAGGGGAGAGAGAGGCGAGACTGAACGTCAAAGCGGCGTTTCGAACATGCCTCGCATACTTCCTGCCGTGTATACCTGCCGTCTCTTGTTCCGCAGAATTACCCTCTCAAGAGCCGTCGATACACGGGTTAAGGAGGAAATACCGGATTGACGATATGCTGCGTTTGAACTGCACATCCGGCCGGAGTAAACCCGCGGCCAATCTCACCTGGTACATCAACGGCCGACAAGTACGGGTTTGGTATACGGCGTCTGAAGCTCAGACAGTGAACGCGGACCGGTGAATTCAACACCACCCCCTTCTCCCCCCCCCCCACCACCACCCCTCTCCTCCCACCGCAGGCTCCCGTAAGACCACCTTTTGCGTTTGAACCGTGTCTACGAATGATACTCGGTCTGGTATCGTGCTGGGGATGTTTGGATTGCTCGAGACAATTGACGGGTCCTCTGCAATAACCGGGTATCTCCATTTTCCTGGCGGTAACGGCTATAGAAACTTTGGTATCGTCGTTAGTCACGATGCTACAGAGTCTGGAGGATAGTCCCTATAGATTGCGGTGGAAAGTAGAATTCTATCTGCGTTTAAATTCGATTTCTGTTATCGGTTGATGTATTGTATCAGTTGCGTGCCAAGAGTACCAATACGCGCCCCCTCGGTTCGAGCATCTGATCATGTGCGTAGGAATGGCTCAACGTTTAGGGCGAGTATCGCTGGGTGATGGTCGAGGGTACTTTGGTATCTTCGTTAGTGCAGATATTTCAGATCGCTAGGATAGTGGCTATCCATTGCGGTGAAAAGGAGTACTTTATCTACTTTTAATTTCGGGGTCTTTTATCGGTTGATGTATCGTACTAGTTGCGTGCCAGGAGAATTCACGTTTCACGGTTTTTGAAAGATGAACGTTACAAGAAATAATTACGTCCAAGAAAACAAGAGACAGGTTCCGTTTCACTAAAAATTTTGCGAACGTAAAAGTGAATATTAACGAAAAATAAAATAAAAATAATTTTCTCTCGTGAATTCCAAACGGTACTTATTATAAGAGCACACACATGATTTTAATAAAATGCGAATTTTTCTTTTTAAAATTTCAAGTGGAACTTTTGGGTTCGCTAAAAACATTCGGAAGTAGTAACGAATAAAAGTAGTAATGAAAGACACGGTTAATTACAAACCCGCATCTCTGTTAACAATTTCAGTTAAAATGTTAACAGAGGGGGCGTTTGAAGTAGTATGAAACCTCATGAATACCAAGCGTTGGTTGCCTGAATAAAAATAAGACACAGGTACCATTTTAATAAAATTCCTGTATATTGCACCATGTGTTTCGTACGAACGAAAGTGTGGTACGTTCTTTTTTTAACATTAAAAAGTAGAACTTTGTTGACGATCGTTCAGGAAATATTTTGAGGAACAAGAAAAGTAATAATGGGACCTGCGTCGAAAACATTAAAAATTATCATGAACCAGGAGATAGTTACGTAAACAAAAACAGGACGTATTGAGAAATTATTAAATTGAAATTGGGAATTCTGACTAAAGTATTGTGAATCCTAAAAAATTCCAGGAGGTAATTACGCAAACGAAAACAAGACGCGTGCACTCTATTCTTAGGCAATAATAAACATGGTGCATCGTGTGCTTCGTATGAATGAGAATGGAACACTTTTCTTTTTCTTTTTTTTAATGTAAAACGTAAAACTATTGAGATTTACTAGAGCATTCAACAATTGTAAAGGGTAAAGCGGTAACGAAAGAAATAATTCAATTGTTAATATAATAGAAACGTCGAATAATTTGTCTTTTGTGTCTAAATCGGTTCTGCGAATGATGCCGTGCCGTACCGCGGCAGTGGTGTTTGTATTACTCGAAATAATTGGCTGGCACAGTGCATAACCAAGGTATTTCCATTTTCCAAACGTTCCTGGGTTTCGAAAGGAAACTTCTGTTTCATTATTCAGTCACCAACGTAGAAGCTGTAAAATTTATGTAATTATTCAGTGGAATGAAAAGCACTGTTCTATTATATTTATTTCTTAACTCGTGCCCTCTTACCGCACGATAAATATGTTACTAAATCCATGAAATTAACAATTTTTGTTGAATCGTTGTTAACAATAATTTAATTACACGTACCGAAACGTAAAAGGATAAATATTCTGAAATAATTTATATCTTTCTGTATTCTGAAGACATGTTTTTCCTTGTACTTCCGTTTTCATTGGAAGATGGAAATATTTGGTATTTGCTCTGAACAGTTCAATTGTAGTTGGATCAAAAGGTGGAATCAACTTAGGACCTACCACTCCCTTTAGAAAGGGAATTCCTTCCTTTGTTGAACGGTGACTCCTGCAGAGGATTGAAATTCAGACATTCTCGAGAGTACTCTCCGATAGAAGCCTAATAAAGAATTGGCCATATTTCATTTAAATATGCTCTTAAATAATTCATTTAAGTGCAGAAGGAAGAAATTTTCGCTTGTACAACTTTGTCTGTCAAGTCTCTTTATCAATTCTATCTTTTATTCGAACACGCTATCAGGGGAACAACGGCATGCGTGAGTGGATGGCAGCCATTTCAAATATTAGGATTACGTAGGAAAAATCCGTCAAATCAATTTGGGTTACCGGTTCAGCGATTCGATCAGCCGATTTTCAGAAATAGAATCGCTCCTCTTGCCTCTTGCGCGTTTGGTTCTCGTTTTACATCGAATTTGAATTTTCGTGGGTGACCCGGGAGAGTTATAGTTTTTTTTGTTTTTTTTTTTTTTTGTTTTACATCGACAGAACGTTAGACCCGCAAATTTGAGAACCGATGTATTGGACTCGGGGCAATAAAGATTTAACTTCGGTAATATCTTTCGGCGAGCAACGATCCGCGCTCGAAACAGATTTGTTTCTCTCTACTGATTGAGTTTCACGCAATCAATCCTACCTTGAGTGCAAAGGGAAATCCGGCTATGTACTTTAATGTGCCTTGGGTGTCTTTTTCCTCATTTTCTAAAGAGTTTCTTCGCGGTGAATTTCGCAACAAAATTTCCGCCTCTCTTCGAAGATCTCTGTGGTCAGTGCAGAATGATTTATTTGGAAAAAAAAAATGAGGGGAATCTAACGGGTGATTCCGGAAACTGGGACAGGCTGATTCCCCAAGCGTGGCTGTAAAAAATTGGGACGGGGAAATTCTCCAGCGGAGACTATCGTGTAATGACATCATTTTTTGGTTTGGTGCGATGGTGTACGCGCAGTATGCAAAGCGAATACAAATGTAAAATGTGGAACATCGCGTAGTCTGTTATGGTTTTAATGGTTCTATCTTTATACTTTTATATGCAGAATGATGGGAGGAATCGATTTATGTGAAGGAAGATGTATGGTTCCGAAAGGAACAAGTGCAAGTGCATAATGCATCAAGAGATAAATTACGTCGTCAAAAGATTTTCTCGGTCTTTATTTCAATATCTGACTTTGTAACTATGGTAGACTTATCGATCGTGTATTTTATGAAAAAGGAACTTACCGACGTATTCACGTTGATAGATTTTCTCTTTAAAAGTGAAGAATACAATTTTGTAAAGTTGAATCATGTTTCTGTTGCCTGTTGAAGATAAAAGTGTAACAAGAATCGAAATTACTAGATTCGCGTACAAAATCTGATAAGCTTCTTTAAAGCTGTAGAATCACCATTCGTTTAATGAACAAAAAATGATGCCATCGAAATTCAATATCCACTTCAGTGATTCAACATTTTCCTGTGTCAATTGTATGAGAATCTTCTCTTGGATAAAGGCTGCAGCTTATCCCGGTTTCTAGAATCACTCTATAATGGTTTGAAGTTATCATCGGGGAGACGTCTACTCGAGAACTAAATCCACTGGCCACTCAAGGTCGCTGAAGAGCCATCCCCTCTAAACGGTTTAGCTTTCCCACCCGCTCAACCATTCTGTCTCTCGTCTCGTCACGCAGTGCTGCGGGCACTTATCTCCGTGCGAAGAGGCGAGTTGGCATAGCGTGAAAGTAGGGGTGCGAGCCTGACGTGATTCACAGTGGGGAAAGTGGCCTTGCGCGGCCAGTTGATTTTGTGCCAACTGTAGGAGCGCTTTTTCTTCGCTCCTCTTGGAGTGTTTGGACCAGTATTAGATGACGCCGCATTACTCGACGGTTTTCGTTCCAAATACAAATTGTACTATGAATTTGTATAGGTGAAACAAATCGATCGATCGGATTGCTGCAAAACACATATGAATTTTTCTTTTATTCTACGATCTCTTTGATCAATTGCATTATTGAAACCGTACGCGAATTTTTATTTCTCATCGATTATACACAAATACACACTTTCGGCTTTTTAATCCTTCGATTGTTTCCTTTTGTTAGCACAGAACAAAGCTTATGCATTAAAATTTGTATTCGGTAAAGCTAATATTTAAAATGGCTTTCAACGGTGCTGTTAAAGGGACAAATAAATACCGTGGATAGAGTTGCAGGATTCGAGTGAACTCATGGAACGAAACGTTTTTGTAAATAATTCGTTTACTCGGTATGAAAAAGAATATACGATAGAGTAATTACGCGTTAGCAAGTTTTTTTTTTTTTTTTTTTTTTTTTTTATCGAACTACGGATGCGGTTGTCGGAGATCGGTCATTCAGTGGTCGGTTCAGTTGATCGCGAATGAAACATTTGCGAATGAAAAATTTGTGTAACAATCGTTAAATTTTCGGAGTCGGTTATCGTTGATCTTTGATTGCCGAGTCAGCTCGTTCACGAAACGATTGAGATAAAGTTTATTTTACAAAAATCGCGGTACCATTTCGCTCTGGTGTATGGAATGAAACATATAACGCAAGGTGTGGTCTGGCTAAACAATTAGAAACAAAGAAAGATTACAAAGCATCGATTACTTTACTATATATTTCCCTCGATATTGACCAATCCCTTTCATCAAACAATTTTTTTTTATACGATAAAAGAACCTTTTCTATGTCGGCGAGCTGATAAATCACTCCACAGAACGCACTTATATCGTCGTCAAATGGCAACTACGAAAACATCGAAATTCTCTCCGTGCAAACAAAGGTGACTTCAACGATACAGGTTAAATTCAGAGAAAGAGAGTATCGAAACAATAGACGCGGCGATAAAAATTTGACTTTCACAGAGAGAACTGCGATAGAAGTGGAACGCAGGAAAAATTGTTTCGCATTGAGGCATTTTGTGGGCTTATTTTTAGACAGCTGTGCTCGAGATGAATTCGTTTCAATTCAAACGAAGCATGGATATTTGATATCGCGGCCGAACTTTTTTTTTTTTTTTATTTGTAACAGAGTCTTACAAACGAATTTCATCCTCGACGCTCGTTTCCCGCAGAAAATCGGGCGTGTATTCCAAAGCTATTGTTTAAATGTTGCGGTGTCATAAAAAAAAAAAACCAATCGAGGTTTCTTCAATGACACGCAGCTATCAAAATACAATTCTGTCAGCTCGTCGGGCGATTCATTTTACGATGCGCTCGTATCGATGAAATATATTGTTATTGAAAAAAACGAATTTTTCGTTGCGCACTCCATTCTCGATTACCTGTGCAGACTAAAAGGCGCGAGAAAAGCGCTATTTTTCTACAACCTCGAAACTCTCTGCCAATTCTTCATTAGCTTCTTAAGAACAGCCCGCTCTAAAAACAGTCTTGGTATTTAAAAAAGAAGAAAATGTTTTGCTTTCCCTGTACAGCGCGTAAAATAACACATTAGGCAGACTTTTGTTATTCGTTCGAGGGATTTTTCCCGACATTCAGAAGTAAAGGATAACGACTTAAACCTTCGCGGTACAAGTCTATCCCTAGGGCACGCGCAAATTTAAACTAATATTAGCTACAGGGTATCTGTTATCTTCTCGTAAGTGAAACACTTCCTGGCACGCGGAAGTGTGCATATATTTGTGTCGCTGCGGTTTTCGATCGATGTTTTACAGAATATTGGTCTTTATAATATCTCTCTATATTTCGGGACCTCGACGAGTGCTGTCCAAATTAGCTTTAAGGACGAGTTTTCGAAGGATGTTTGTGGGAAAATAGAACTAGCTGTATCTCTTGCTAAGTGAGAGTAAAGAAAACTCGGTGAGAAACATATTGGCCAGCTCAATCTGATCGACGTTCTCGCTCTATTTTTACTGCAGCTGTAACAGTGCATCTACAGAATGCAATTGGCGTCTTCTCAGTTAGTATAGAACCATTAATTTTAGTTTGATACCAATTCCTCCTGTCGTAAGTTTTGTCTTTATTTCCAAAAATCACCTTTGCGCTGGGCGTGTGTCGAGTAGACGTACAGATTGATACATAGATCGATTATCTGGTTAGGACTGTCTCGAAAATGTACAGTGAAGTTTTTCGATTCGAGTCTTTGTTTTCGAGGAAATAAACTTAGAATTAAATAGGTCTCTTGGCTGACGCGTCTGACCAATGCTCGATGTTTCTGCTCATATTGGCGTTCGTGAAGGTTGACTAGTTAATATCGGCTACATGTAATACTTACTTGACTTTTCTTCTGCCATTGTTTCTTTAGCCGTTCACAGACAAGAAGCTGAAGCTACCAGTTTGCATTGGCTTCCCCCAATGTAATTTCCAAAATACATCTTCCAAGTCAGACTTTTTCTATATCCGAACTTCGGCAGCCTTCATGCCTGGCACAGACCAATTGGTGAAAAGAACCCAACGCTAATCGTCGTTTATGATTAGCCTCTATATTTTGCCAGCCACGTAGAACATTGCTACGAAAGGCATGACAGCCCCATCGCGTGAGACGGACGAACCGCAGGGGGTTAGAGCGACGATCCTTAAACGTCGAACAGACTAGATTACCCGGCCGGCGACGAACGACTACCGTCGTTGCGGACGGGATCGTTCGATTAATCGCGGAAATTTGTCCTTAAAACGGGTGGCTTAACCCGGCCGAATTAGTTATCGGAATTAAGTCGCCGACGTGTCGCGGCGGTGAGCTGGGAGCCAGGGAATTTTAACTTGGGGGGTGGGGGTGGGGGAGGGGAGGGGGGGGGGGGGCCGCGTTGATCATCGTGGTTTCTCCTCTTTAACCGATTCGCACGTTGTTACCCATCACCTGAGCAGCCGCTGGAGTCCCACGTCCGCACGTACAGCCCCCTCGACACCAACGAATCAGAGTGGCAGATCTCCCAGATCGGCCTCCAGTTTCTCCTAACACACGAACACTTCACCCTGGGCAAGCTGAAGATACGTTGCAGCGCCTCCATATACAACATCTATTGGCGAAGCACCGAGGTCAGCGTAGAGGAGGATAGGCCCAGGGTGATACACTACGAGCCCGCAGCGACCATCGTCGGCATCAACTACCTTCAACCGCCGCCCAACTTCCAAACGGGACAGCAGAAGCCTGACGGACAGGTTGGAGTCAAAGGTAACGATCCCTCGACGAATCAGCGCGTCCGACTGTCGATTTTGGTCGAGCATGAATTTATGTTTCCTGGCGGTTGTATCTGCGTCGTTATTTTGATTTCTGACGCGGACACTGATATGCGTGCTGTATCAAGTGCGAGTTCTTTGTGTTGTTGAATGATTGGTTGTTCGCGTGGCGTGGGATGTTGATAGAACGTATTTTTACAAATATCCCTGGTAATGGAGTATTGGTTGCACGAACCTAGCAAAATAGTGAGACCTTACCCTGTTGTATCAAGTACTTCACGAAGCATGTATCTTTTTACTATCTTTTGGCATGTATCAAATAGACATCAGATCGACTGTTATCGAATTTTTGTTCAATCTGAGATCCGTGCAATACTCCTGTACAGGTAGACGTAGCTGAAACTCTTAATCATAATGACACATCTTTAAGCTCCGATTTTTGAATATTCCAAAGCATTGGCTACACTAGTCTTGAAAACCTGTTTGTTATTTCTGTGGAACGGTATTCTATCGTTCGCAGACTTTTTGTTTATATATTGCAGGATGTATATAATACTTCTTCATCAGAAAATGTTGATAAAGAGGACCACCCAAATGTCTCTGTCACTGAAGTATTGATTGCACAAGTCTGGAAAACCCAGTACCTTTCCTATCTCGCTGATTGTGAATGCTTCTTCGTTACTTCACTCTCTTATCTGTCAAAGATTTCATTGTTTGGCTCGTTTACTATTTCCTGTTAATGGCACGATTTCGTCGAGAAATGTTTGACTATCCAGGTAGAATATTGATTGGCCAGGCTCAGCAGGTTCAATATATGATTTATACCATTGAAAACTTTGGTCTCTATTAGCCCTACAACCTGTGTAAACTATTACATAACTAAAGTTAGCTGGCCAACACACCTAAGTATACCTAATACTATTGCTAGTGAAATACTTTCGACTTTGCAAGAGTATTGGTTACATAAATCTGATAAATTCGACTCATCATTTCAACCCAATTTAAATACATTATGCCTTCAGAATCGTACCTAGTTGTATAACACAATTTTTGATAACGAGAGTATTCCCTCATAGTTTTCTCTATCCTCTCATATTGTCAAGGACTTTATTGTTTCCTTAGTTTACAATTTATGTGGAAATGTTATTCTTATAGGGATAGCCAAACGAAGCTATCTAATCTGTGATTATATCGTTGACGAAATTTATCCTCGAATCCTTGACCAACTTCCGAAATTGTAAAATGCACCTCCTGGATCTAGAAAGACCTTTTCAACGCGCTTTGGCACGTTTTTGTCCACAAATTCGTGTACCTTGTGGAGCAGTATCGATTGGCTTGGTCTAGTAGATTCAGGAAATCCTATCGCATACTCCTGAAAATTTCAGAGTTTAGCTTAGTCTACAATTTACGTAGTACTGTTACAGAGGATGGAGAAGTAGCTAAATTTGCGCACCTAAATGTGCTTGATACTGTCTCGTTAATAGCACACTGTGGTCTGCGAACTTCAAACTATTTTCTACCATTACTGATTAGAGCACATCAGATCTGGTGTTTTTAGCAAATTCTCCTTTACACTGTCGAGGTCTTCAGTATTCGCTTTCTCCGTAATCGATGTAATTCTATTACACAGATAGAAGTAGTTGAGAAAAGTCTCATCCTGTTGTTAACGATGCTTTCTCATCCTCGAGTTGTTCATTATTCTGAAAAATTATTCATTGTTTAATTAGTACTCGGTCCAAGAAGGAAACTACCTGAAAGAATCTGAATGTTTTTCACGTTGTTGCTTATGTTATGTTTTCGTTATTAAAAGAATCTTCACAAATTAAGCGTACTTTTATACTCTTAAAAATCTCGATGATTCTTCAGCATGTACTTAATATTTTCAACGAATTAGAGAAACATCTTTCTCATCTGGTAATAACCTGTGCCCATAACAATGACTTCGCTCTTCTCCACTTAGAATGTATATTCCCATTGGTACTGTAGTTTGTTTCTACGATACATTAATCCTACTCTTTATGACATACAATCTTTATCTTATTCCCTATGCTTCTCTCATCTTATTCCATTTCTCCCCCGCTCCCCTTCTTCCAAGCATCGTCGTCTATTCTTCCCCTATCTCTCTTAAATTATGTGGCGACGTTTTAATTAATGATTAATGCTTCACGGGAGGAAAAGGAATATGCGTTTCGTCTCATCTCTGCTGGGGAAACGGTCGGTGAGACCATTTCTACCAAAGTCTCCTTTAGACGTGGAATTAGCGAACATTTCGATTCACTATGAATTTGTATATGTCTCGTATACACGATACAGATCTATGGATACAGTAGAAAAGATCAAAGTAAATATATCTAGGTCACGAAACCAATCGTTTCATAGATATTCAGCTTTTTATTT